GGGTGCGGGGAGTGAACGGGCCCCCGGGGAGCCCCGCCCGGCCTTGTCTCAGCCGTGCTTTCCATCGGCACTTCAGCCTGTGCTGTTTGGGGAGGGGGGGTTCTGTGCAGGGGGAGGCAAAGGATGAAAACAGAAGCCCGGTGGTTTCCTTCTGCTGGTGCGCTGGCTATGCCAGTAAACTCGCCATCCGGTGGAATTCCTTGTTCCCAGTCTCACTGTGGACAGGGACGTTACTGCTTTCTGGTAAACACACAAACAGCCTGGCTGGGTGCAGGGCAGTGGTGGGCACTTGCTGGCCCCAGCACCCCCTGCCAGCTCTGCTAGCCGCACCCGTGTCTTTGGTGGCCCTTGGCGCTGGGTTGGGCGAGCGGGTGCGAGGCGGGTGCCGTGGGAGCTGCCCGTGCTCTGCTGCACGCCGGCTTGCTGCCCCGGGCTCCGGCACCAGCCTGGCCTCCAGGCTGCGGCCAAGCTGTCAGCTCAGCTTTTAAGCCTGTACAATGGCATCGTTTGTACAGGGTGTCTTGTGGGAACATCGATGGGTCATGTAAGCACTTGTTTGGGTTTTCTGGCTGGCGTGGACATGCTGTCTGTCTGTCTGCCTGGGCTGGCGGGGAGCAGGGAGCTCTGGTAGAGAAGGAAAACGCAATTTCCCTAAAGCTGCAGGGTTGCTGCTGCTCTTCTGTGTTGTGTTAGCGGGGTAAAGGAGTAACAGGCTCGTCCTCTCCCCAGCCGGTGTTCGGGGTCGGCAGCTGACAGGCACCGCAGTCGTTCGGCCGAGCAGCATGTGCCAGGTAGCCAAGGGACGCCCCGCTCACACTCCGGGTGCACGGCGTGGTGGGGAGTGGGTGCCAGGCCCTCTTCTCGAGTCCCCATGACTCAGGAGCAACATCTGCCAGCAAAGAATGTCACACGGGGGCACAGCCAGGAAAGGTCCTGGCCAAGAGGCACATGGCTGGAGGTCTGCGCCCCAGGGACAGGGGGGCACACTCAGGGGCTGTGCCAGGGATGTGCAGACCTGGGCTCAGCTGCACTGAAGCGTGTGGCTCCAGGCTAGGGGAGAGCAGGACACGGGCAGGGGACGCCAGCCGCCCCCAAAGCAAAGCCATCGGCACATGTGACGCCCATGTGTGCGTGCTGCTTGCCATTTGTGCTGGCAGTCACGTTCAGTTGCCAGGGACCCCTCACAGCACCGAATCAAGGCAGGGGGTGTTTGGGAAGCTTGTCCTGCTCCTGGCCGTGGGCGAGCTGTAGCGACAGCCCGGCTACAGCCCACATGCTGCATGCAACCATGCCCGGCTGTAACCCGTGGGCTGGCACGGCCGTGCGGCGGACGCCTGGTAACCACCGCCGGCACAGGCAGTGCTGTGCTGCTCGCTGCCAGAAGGACGATGAAGTATCCCGGGGCAGCCATGAACTTGTAATCTGTGGTTTGGAGTTAGCAGTTGCTCTAAGGGAGGCAGTAAATGAAGCCAAAGGAGGAGAAATGGTATCGCTTCTTAATGAGAAGCCAACAACTTGTGTTGGCAGATGCCAAACACGAGACTTTGGTGCCAGATTTGGATGGGACGCAGCAGTGGGGTTTGCCACGGGGCCTGGGACACGCCAGAGAGGCAATAGCACATTCAGAGATGGAAACCAAGTGCCGGGTTCACATCTGTAAGCCAGATGGAAGAGAAGGATACTTGTTTTGTCGTAAAATTGTCATGGACGTTTGGAAAAAATACAGAATTTGGTTTTAAAACAAGGAAAACAGGCGCTGATGAAACCCTGAAAAGAAGCAGCTCAGTTAAACTTGAGATGATTATTTTTGTACCCAATGGTTTTTTCCATATTAGGAAAGGCAAGCCAGGACATGCCATCAGGAAAGCTCCGTGAAAAAAAATTTTCAGTTCAAGAACTTAATTGAGGTACAAAACTTGATGGCACAGGATTAAACACGGGAGGTTTTATTTGATACGTGCAGTTGCATCAAGTCCTTTGTTATTGCCGCTTGAAAGGAACGGGCTGGGAGATGCCAGCTCAGCACCAGTGTTACTTGGATTGCGGGGACGTGCGAAACCCTGGGAACAGAGGATCCCAAGCTCCATCATCTGCTTGGTCTTAAAATGATGGTGGAAAAGTGAATGTGTCTGCAGCATAGGTGAAAAAGGTGATCATCAGGCCAGGGTGGTAAGAATGAGTCTGGGAGTCTAATGATGAGCCAGTGGAAATGTGGGGTCAGTGTGGGGTTAGGTGTGATCCTGTGCCCGAGCCAAGGAGGCTGCGGGGTTTCCGTTTGCTTTGTGGGACTTGGCAGGCACCCGGGGTGCCGGAGCCCCTGGCCCAGCCACCTCCCCTGCCTCCAGAGCAGCTCCCCGCCTGCTGCAGCTCCTTAAGTTGTCCCAACATAAAATCCCTGTTTTCCACCTAACCAGGTGGTTGGTGCCACCCGCACTTGCACAAGAGGGCTTGAGGTGATCCAGCAGGTCCTGGCCCCAAAGCAGGGCTGCTTTTTTCTCGCCCCCCCCCAACCAGCTTCCTACCATCTGTGCTTTGAAATTAATTTAAATGTTAACATATGTATTTTTGTTATGTTGGTTTTCTTGTCTGGAACTTAACCTACTTCTGCTTTAATTCCAGATAGTGGTGCTGAGATCTGACCGTAATTAGAGGTTCAAGCACCAATTTTGCTCTCCGGAGCGAGGCATTAGCAATTAGCCCTGATGGCTTTTTGCAGCAGCGGTGAGCAGCCCTACCCAGCCCTGGTAGCCCGCCCTGCACTTTGGCACGGAGGTGCCTGTGCTCATCACTCGTGCGCTGAGCCGAGCCAGTCTCGTTGCTGGACTTGGTGCCCGGGGTGCAGCTCACCCTGCCGCTGTGGTCGGGGCAACCGGTGAAGATTTCTTAATCTCTCTTGAGCTGTTCCTCTTCAGATTTACTCTTGGAAAGAAGGTCAGATTTTCCCTGGTTTACAGCCTCAGCCATTTACATGAGGCTCTGCTAGTGTTTTCTTCTCTGATGAGAGTGGGCTGATAATCAGGATGGTTAATTAGTGATTTCTGATTGAAAACTCATGCGGCAGGGTTGCTTTGGGCAGCCAGGGCACCTTCTCCAGCAGTTTCAGTTTCTCAGAAAGCTTCTCCATCCATAGCATTCCTGTTTTTTTTAGTGCCTGACAGAACTGGCTCTTCCAGGAGCTGGGAGCTTGTGGGAAAGGGTTGGAGGGATTTGATGGTGATAAAGTGATTTAACAGTGTTCTTCCTGAGCAGTTCTTATTCCTAGCGTTCAAAGCGCTTGCTTGGAAGTTTACACGAACTTTGTTCTCCAATATGCTTAGCCAGGGACATTACAGAATTACTTATTTTCTGGTTAATGAATAATTATTCCAGTACAGTTTGGAAGTTGTGGCTGTAGGTAGTTCAGCTGTGGCTGGGCTGTAGCTCCTGGTGTGCTCAGCGCCAGCGGTGATGGATGCAGCCTCTGAGGAAGAGGTCACATAAGTTAAATTCCATTTTTTTCCCAAGTACCGCTTGCGAGGAGTCAGTATGCAATGAATACCTTACAGCCCTATACGTTCAAGCATGAGTGAAATCTTAACCACATCGTCGCATGCTTGATCGCTCTGCAGCGCGAGGGCTTGAGCCTCCGTCAGAGCAAGCACCTTTGGGGAGGGGAGGCTGGCGTTTTGGGAGAAGACGAGGTGTACCTATAGAGTAGGGCTGTATAGATTATCACCCAGGTCCCGCGTGCTGTGTGTGGTGTCAGATCCAAAATAGGTGGCGTGGTTTTTTCACTGAGCAGCTTCAGGTCTACTTGGAGTGGGATGGATTTGATGTGTTTGTGTGTTTTCTGGTCGAATACAGTGAGTTCCTGCGGACAGGGACCCCTCTCCAGCCAGCCAGCTGCTGTGTGCCCTTTGCTGCATCCCGCAAATTTTAAAGGCTTGACCCTGTATGGTGAATTTTTGCTGTCTGTGCAGTGTGTCAGAGGAAAAGGTGGGGCGCACAGCTGGGTCGGAGGCGTTTGGCACCCAGGAAACAGAGGAAGCAACTCAGTTTCATGGGCGAGTTATTGTTTAGCTGGGTTTATTCTGCAGCCAAAGTGCCTTTGACACAGTGGAGGCATTTTGAAAACGCTGACCCTTAACTGTGGGCGACTGAAGTCTGAAGGTCCGGGAGCAGGCGCTGTGCCGGCGGCCCCAGAGCAGCATGCTCAGCACCTGGATAATTAGTAATGATCTGTATGGCCTGCAATTCTTGCCACCTCGTTAGTCACCAGCTTTCCCAGAGGACATGGCAAAACGTCTCCATAGTGTGGGGGCCAGGTGAGCCCGGCTGGCGTGGAGCTGCCACAGCTCCCACAGTTGCAGAAGCAGCCGCCCCTCTGCCCCCTCTCATCCTTCCCTGCTTGCACTTTGTAAAGGAACTCTGGCTTTTAATGCCGTGTTTCCTGATGCTGAATTTTGCTTGGTTTTAAATACGGAGCTTGATTTCCAACAGGTTTCCTTACAGACATCTCTGTTTCCCTTGACATGTCAAACAGATCCCTGGATGTGTTTTTCACAGCTAGCATCCTGGAACATATCAGAGCCCTGCTGACCTGCACGCTCCCATCCACCATATCAAATGCAGTGAAGATAAATGCAGGTGCATGCCCAGACGGGCCCATGCCTCACCACCTCTCCCTTCCCAGCAGGGATGAGAAAATATTTTACAGAAGCGGCTGCTGTAGGTTTCTTTTTGTTATTGATCAGATTTAAGTATTGGAGGCATGTTGCAGTCATCAAATCTCCATATTCCCATGTTAAAGGCTCTGTGGGTTTCTCAGGAAGAGGCATGAGCTGTGTTTTGCAGCTCAATTCATCTCTTTTTGTCACGTAGCTGGTGTTACTTTGCAAGCTGGGCAGAGGGGCAGGGGTACCCGGCTCCCCACCGCTGGCAGCATACCTTCATTCTGCCTGAAAATAGGCATCAATTGCATCTCTTTCCTAAATTATAGTCCAGAGCAAACTGCATCGAACCACAGCACATCCCCTTTTGCTTTGGGGTTTACTTCTGCTTGCTCTTCTGGAGCAGCAGCAGAAGTGAAGCCCAGCTGCCGAGCCATCAGCGGTTTGGTTTGGTTTTGGCAGGACTCGAGGTGCTGTCGGATGGCATCTGGGCCTCTTTGTAATGCAAAAGTTGCTCCTTTTTGTTGCCTGCAGCTGAGCTGAGGAGCCTGAGCAGCCCAGATGGGAGGTTTCTGCTCCACCACCCTTGCTTTTGCCTGGGCTCGGGCACCGCTTGCTGAGACAGCTTGGCCCGTCCATTCCCTGGGCACAAGGATGAGCACTGGATGATCAGCTGCTCTCTGATAGCGTGGCTAATCATTAAAATTATGCTATACTTTGATCTGTGATCTAATTAGCTTACCTTTTGTGGTAGAATTATCTAATCTGAGACTAACATGTTTGAAGTCTATTCATAAGCGCTCCTGGCAGGCATCCCTTAATCGGGAGATTAGTCACCGGGATGGGAGCAAGCTGTGGCAGAGGCACGCTCAGCTCCAACTTCGGTGGACAGAGACTCATGATGCTGTTTTTATTTTTTTTAAACTTTGTCTGGGGTTACCAGCGGCTTTAGGTGGAAGTTTCCATGCTGGCACCTGTCCTAAGCCGCCAGCCCTGGCTGGGTCATCATGAGGCTGAGTGATGGGCAGTGAGTCAGCCCTGCAGGTCGTGGGGGTGGAAAGGACTTTGGAAACGCAGCAGCGTGGGAAAGGAGATTTTTATTCTGTGCGTCTTCTTCTCGAACCCAGAAATTAGAGAAATGCAGCAGGTTTTGTGCTGGCAGAGGTCAGGGAAACTGGAAACCATCCCTAGCCAGGGGTGGAGCAGTCTCCCTCCCATCTCCATTGCTCTGCTTTTCTGGCGGGGAGCATCTTGTGCCATGGGGAGCTGGGTGCTGGGGGCCCTGACGGGCACATAGCGGGAGATTGTGCTGGAAACGGGGCCAGGGCAGCCCCCGGGCTGCACACACCAGCTGCCCATCGGGTTTGGCATTGCTGGCTGCTCACCCGCTTCAGCGATGGGGTCCTGTCGGATGGCTGCTGGTGCTGCAGCCTGACGGGACTTGCCTGGGGAGGCAACCACTTTCTGGGTGGTTTTGTGCTTTAAGCAGGGTGTTCCAGCAGTGAGTTTTGCGGTGAAAACAGTGCTGGTGCCTGAAATGGGTGGAAATGCAGGTGTGGGGAAACTACATTAAATGACGTGGAAACGTGTGTGTGCCTCCAGCCAGTAACCCCCGTGCCGGGACGCAGCTGGAGGCAGCGTTGCGGCTGTGTCTGAGCGCGGGTCCTTGTCTTGCAGTGGAACCTGGTGTGCGAGGATGACTGGAAAGCCCCGCTGACCACCTCCCTCTTCTTCGTGGGGGTCCTCATTGGCTCCTTCATCTCAGGGCAGCTCTCGGACAGGTAACGCCGCTGCTCCTGCTCTGCCTGCAGAGAGAGCAGGGCAGACCCGGTGCCACGGCTGGTGCGCTTGCTCTTAAGAGGCGTAAGGGAGTTAAGAGGACCAGTTCCCTGAGTTTTGATCCAAATGAGGTAACGGGCCTGGCTCCTTCAAAAATCCCAACCTTGACCTCCCCCAGGCATAGGATTACTGCCTCTTGGGTGCTTTAGGAGAGCAGGAGCTGATCTCCACAAGGAGCCCATGCGGCTGCTTTGTAGCTTGATGTGGTGGTTTTTGCTTCACGACCACGTTTGTTTCTTTATCCGGCCTCTTTAGTGGTTTAAAAGACACTGTTCTTTGTCACGCGTTAACTGGCCGTCCTTTCTTAGAGCTGCGGGATAGAAACTTGTCCCTTGAATGGGAGCTCTGCAGAGAAGGGATGGTTTGCTGGAAAGAAAGTGAGCATATCCAAGAGGAAGAGAAAAAGATAACCTGTAAATGGATAGCAACGTGCCATACCATCTAACTAAGTAGATGCAAAATATCAAGAAAACATTACAGGCACTTGACCATTATCTCAGCGGTATTGAAGTTCGGGCCTTACAAATGTCAAATGCAGAATATGTGTTCTTTCTGCGAGTCTCTGCTTCCCTCTTCATGCATCCCTTAGCCTTTTTTCCATAGCATTATGGCAGGGTCTCAAATACAGCTTTGATGACTGCCTGGTAGTGAGGAATTCATGAGAGTTTCAGCACTCTGCTGGGTGTTGAGCAGAGGGGTTTCAAAACTTGATGGGAGTCTTAATCCTGAAGCCTCCAGTGTTAAATTCCATGTGATCTGAATTTAATCTCCCGACTCCTGCCCCCGGTGCAGAAGTCAGTTGGTGTTACTGTTTGAAAGGGAGATGAGATAATCACTAAATCCCACTGGTGCCATGTGCCCACTGGGAGCATCTGAGAAAGCATGCGTGCCCCGGCAGCAGGTCAGCCTGCCCGACAGCCCAGTCACCTAGCACGAGCTATTCGTTGAATTTTTTTTATTTTTTTTTTAGTGGTTTGTCAGTAAAGGGGTATGTTCTGAGCCTGTACCTGAGCCATTTCCCCTGCGCTGCTGCAGAAACCTTTCCTAAGTCAAGGGCGGGCAGCCGGCGATGCGGCACGTGCAGAGGGCAGCGTGCCCCGGGCCAGCACGCAGGCGTGCAAACCCATACATAAGCTTGCTCTTGCATTTTCTTATGGAAAGGTTATGTACCTCTAACGCAGACAAGTGAGTGAGAGACAGGGTACAAGATGTATGGCAACTCAGAGAGACTGAAAGCAGTTGATGAAGCTATTTAACAGACTTGGAGTGTAATGGTGTTGCCATGTATAGATGCCAGTAGCCTAAACGCCATCATTTCCCACCTTTTGGCCGTGTGGCTTGCAATCTTCAGGTGTCTCTCACTTGTGTGCTGTTGCCTAGTCTCTCTAGTCCCTGTCTGGTGGCTCCCTGAAGTTTCTGCTCTTAATTTTTGATCTTGGTTGATTTCCTGGGTCTTGCAAATTTTACTTTTTTTTTTTTTTTTTTTTTTTTTTTTTTTATAGTGCTTATGAAAATGATAAACAAAATGCTCTAAAACGAATGAAACTTCAGATTGTTCTAAGCAGCATCTCTTGAGGTTGGATGATTGTGTTCCCTCATGCTCTCTTGTATAGCCCCGCTCCATAAGTAAATGCTGTTTCAATAATGATCTCCTTTATCTTTTTGCAAAAGGTTTGGCAGGAAGAATATCCTTTTTTCGACAATGGCCGTGCAGACTGGCTTCAGCTTCCTGCAGATCTTCTCCACCAGCTGGGAGATGTTCACAGTGCTCTTTCTCATAGTGGGGATGGGACAGATCTCTAACTACGTGGTGGCCTTCATACTGGGTATGAATATCTCTGCATTAGATTAAATGCTTGCTTAATGTACTGTTTGGTTTTTTGGGTTTTTTTTCCTCCTCTGAACTTGCATCATTTAATTAGACAGCGGTAAATCCTTACTGGTACAATTCCTAATTTAGGCCAGTATGATTTTTTTTGCTTTTGGATACTTCAAGCCTACACTTTCTACAGGTCTAGAGAAAAAGATGAGAGCAGCAAACCTTTAAATAAGCATCCATTTCCCTCCTTTTTCGGGAATACATCCCAGGAGGCGTTCAGGGTTTGTTATCAGAAGCAGCAGGTCTGAGATAGAGAAGGCATTCGGGTTCCTCCCTGCCTCTCGGCCCCTTTGCAGAGGGGTCAGTGCATACCTGGGTTCAAAGCCTTGGAGCAAACCAGCGTTTCCAGGCACAGCAAGTGTCCCGGGGGACTGGAGCGGAGGAGCTGGGTGGGTGTCAGAGCCCCGTTAGCCATAAAGTCTCAGTGCTGAGGTTAGCGATAAAGTCCCTAAATTCACAGGCCAAGGTTTGTTTTGTTTTCTGCAGGGACCGTAGAAAAAAAGAGCCAGCAGCTGCGGGGAGACTGCACGGCTGCAGCCTCTGCCCAGGGATCCTGTGGGAAAGGGGGAACCCCGGGGGGAAGGGGACCCCACAGGGTCTCTTGCTAGTCTCAGGGTTTTCAGGAAAGGCAGCTGCATGGGGGAATTACTGGGATAACTGGTGCAGGCCTGAGGGAGGAGCTAAGGTTTGCAAGAGCTGTCTTTAAAATATGCACGTATACATTATGTCAGCTTTTAAACCAATGGTGTCAAAATTACAATTTGTAGATCGTAACGTGAGCTAGACTAAATTAAAACCATATACTAATAGTTAATGCTGTTCTTTCCGACCCCATGAGGCTTTAATGGGGAAAAAATAGTGTGATATGTGATATGTAATCAGTGCTATGGAGGGGATATGGCATCGTGTCCCCAGGCAGCCGTGAGTCACCGCTGCGAGCGGCGGAGGGAGGATTAAGTAGGCCAGGCTGGCAGCGGGGAGATCCCTTGCCATTGCCACTGCTCCCTCCGTCCTGGTTGTTAACTCTTGGGGGGAGCTGATGGAGCTGGAGTGAGCGCCTGCCGTGGGAAGGCTGGGAGATGTGGTGCTGGGTCAGGAGCGCTGGCTTGGCTGAAAATCCTTTTGGAATTTGTGTAGCACAAGTCCCTCTGATGGGGGTACAGGATCTGATCAGGCAGGAATTTAGCTCCGCAGCTCCCCCAGGAACGTGCTGGCTGCAGATCGGGATGCTGCCTCAGCACTCAGCAGAGGCAAAGCTGCGGGGAGGTCCAAAGCACCCCACTGGCCAAATGTCCCCACTGCTGAGAGATAGGACTGGGTCTCCCGGAGCAACGTGAGGTTTGTTTAATTGCAAGGCTGCAGTTAGAGCGTGCCTTACCCCTTGTGTTGTCTCTTCTGCCACCCTGTTTTCTGTAGAGTTGCTGCAGCAGCGATGACTCCCTGGGAGCAGAGAGGCAGTGCCTCGGCCAGCACAGCCCTTCCCCGGCGGCCTTGAGGCTGTTAGGAAGGGCAGGATTAATCAAAACTAACTTAGACATTTGCTTCCCAATTTAAGCAAGTCATTGGCTGCCTGTCATCAGTAAGGAGGGAGGCCCTGAGGAGGATGGTCCTTCCCACCCCATGCTACACACCACCTCGGGACAGGTTTCTCCTGTCGTTCCAGCCTTGCACATCCAAACCTGCGTTGCCTCCCCATGCATAGCTCAGACCCTGTTCCAGCATCCTCAGCCACCCGGGCTCTTCCTGCCCTTTGCTCTGTTGCTGCTACCTTCAGGAGAAGAGTTTCCCCCCCCCCCCAAGCTGTTGGTGAAATTCTGCAGAGAGAGAGATATATATATATTTATTTTTTTTTCCAACACATTCTGTGAAATTTCTCTCTGTAGCATTTTTGCTTAGCTTTAGCTCTCGGTTGTTTTCAGTGCGCAAAATTGTTGAGTTCAAGTTCTGGGACTGTCAAACACTACATAGATTTGTGGAGGCATCTTGGTGGCATCCCAGAACTGTTATTTCCTGGCCAGCAGAATGAGGGAGGAGAGGCAGGAGGGAAGAGAATTGTAGCTGAAAGATGTCATCTCAATTGGCTTTGGATTGCCACAAATGATAACATAACGTTTAGGTATAGGTTTCAAGTATCAGACCTCTCCCGAGAGAGCCCATCTAAACAAGAGTGATCGGTATAATTTCTCCTCACGCACCATTCCAGTCCCTAGGAGTTCTTATTTTCAGCTTTCTCACAGTGACTTTATTCAGATACCGCAAGTTTCTAAAATGAAAATTAACGTAGCTATCAAATAGGATTTTTTTATTTTTTGTTTTTACTCTTGGGTATTTTTTCCCGTTTTCTCTGCTTTATTAAATGTTGGCATTCTTACCACACTACATAACTCTCCAGACTACCCAAGGCCCTCCTGTTCATTCAGTGTCGTTTGCTTTTTAATTGAGTCCAAATCAAACTGTGGGAGTTCTGGCCCTTATGGGGCTCCTGATAGAGAGGAGAGCTTTGTAGACCCAGGGCTGAGAGCACAACGAGAAGCAAGGTGGACCTGAGGGCGTCCGTGGGTTTTGTTAAGTAGTGGCTAGGTATTTTATTGGAAAAGAAATTAGGTGCTCTTGAAGGCTGACAACAGTCTCATTTTTTATGATTAGGTATGGGGTTGCTGCTAGGCTGCGTGTGACGCAGTGGTCGTAGGATGCTTTCATTGACTGCTGCGTCTTCTCAGGTTGTGCCCTATAGCCCGTGATGTGCCGGGCTGACATTCCAGCCTTCTGTTCCAAAAAATAAACATGAAATTTTTTCCCACCTCCCTGTAAATTCACATCCTTCCATCCCATGTCAGTCTGCTGTCTGCAGACCTGCTCTCCTCTAGAAGTGTTCAGCGATGAACTGCACCTTAAATCCCACATGGGTTTAGTGGGGGAGCAGGCTGTGTCCTAGCCGAGCACATCGGGAAGGCTCCTGAAAGTCTGCCAGCTCTTCCCCCTGCCTGCCCTTATCTGTCTCGGACAATGCATTAATCAAAGCAAACAGAAGTTGCTCCTTCATCTGAAGGCCCCCGATAATCCCAGCAGTTTTTCTGTCCTGGGTGGGTCTGTGCTGTGCTGCGGGCGGCTGCTGCTATCGCTGGGGCCAGCACTGCAGGCAGCACGGCAGCCCAGGTCTTTGCCATCCCACAAACTGCTGGGTAGGACAGAAGCAGATTTGCCAGGTGGGGAAAAAGGACCAGGGAGGAGTGAAGCTCCTTCAGTTCCTCACAACTCTTTCAGTTCACCCAATAGCTTGGCTGGGGTTAGCGTAGTCGTGGAGCTCAGTATTTTGGAAATTAGGCTAATGGAGAGAAGTGAAATCCTCTCTGCTCGGTCTTCCCCACAAAGAAAGGATGTTATGAGCTGTTTGATGCAGCTGGAACATACAGGACTTGCTGCTGCGGGGAAGGACTGCAGTGCCAAGCAACATTTGGGCTTTAAATGTGCATTCAAGTTGCTGCCCGTTGGTTGAGCTGCTTTAACTGTCCGGGTGCATGTTCCTAGGCTGACACAGAGGACAAAAAATGTGATGTAAACTCTTTCACTCCCAGCCCAGCCTGTTTGCAAGTACCCAGTAGCTGACCAGCAGGCTCGGTCTGGTCCGTACGGTGCTGCTGGTACCGCAGTGGCTTCATGCTTTTACACTCGTATCCGCCTCTGACCGCGGGTGGGAGCTGGCCCAGGTGCTCCATCAACCAGGATTCCTTCATCTCAATGTCCTTGGAAGCAAACCACAGAGGGTTCATGTCTCATGGTGTGTTCCCGCATGGTAGCCTTCATTTTCTGTTCCCAACTCATGTAAACTCCCGGCAGATGTGAACGAGAAGACTTTGTTAAAGGGACGCTGTCAGCCCTTTCTCTTGTATCTGCCAGCCTTTGCAATAGAGGAGAGCTCGCTGAACTGCGGGTCTCTGAATCCTCTGCTAGATCTGTGAGCAAATACCGATGGCAACAACATAGAAACTGCACAGATACTGCCCTTACAACTATGTTTAGCATTGAAAATGGTTGCGTATCAGTCTCTGCCAGACTGCTGGGGCACTGGCAGAGCACAAATGGTGCTGGTCTCATGGGTGCTTCAATGGCAGCTCCAGGGGAGATGCACAACAAAAACCTGGGGGAACCTCCCACCGGGTTAATTGCACTGTGCTGACGATCATCTCTTGGACCGTTATTCCTTGACAGTACCTCTTAAAATATTGTAAGAGAAACCATTCTTTTCTAAGGTTGTTAAGCTAATTTTTTTTGTAAATGCAGTAAAGTATTTAGTCATGGTTGAAAAGAAAGAGTTAAAAATGCTAATCCAACCTCCCTTGTTTTAAACAGGAACAGAAATTCTTGGCAAATCAGTTCGTATTATATTCTCTACATTAGGAGTTTGCGTATTTTTTGCAATTGGCTACATGTTGCTGCCCCTGTTTGCTTACTTCATCAGAGACTGGCGGATGCTGCTGCTGGCGCTCACTGTCCCGGGGCTGTTCTGCGTCCCGCTCTGGTGGTGAGTGCCCCTGCACCCCGAGGCCACGCTCCCCACCTCCCCTTCCCTCCCCTCCCCTCCCCAACCTGATCCTCTCCCGCGCTGGGTAATGGCAGGATGTTGGGGGGTCCTGTTTCTCCTCTTTGGGTTTTTTTCTATTTGCCACGTGAGGAGGCTTTGCCTTGAGGTGGGAGTTGGGGCAGGGTGGGGTTGTTTGGGGTTTTTTTTGCCAGTTTTAAGTCAAGTTGACTACCTGCAGGGCCTCGTTGGTGCTGGCCATGCACTTGAAGCCATTTTTTCACCAGGTTTCCAGAGCAGCTTGGGAATTCTGTATTTGACTCCTAACTCTGGACGCTGTTAACCACCTCTAGGTTTACCCCTGTAGTACCACTGGGTGATCTGTTCTAACTTTTCTTCCTTGCTTTTTAATTTAAGCCATTTGTAAATGTGGATTCACCTGCTGATTGGTACTAAAATCCCAGTGAAAGGCTGAGCCGGTTCACTCGGCACGCAGCGCCTGGCAGTTTATTGCTCTCGATGTCATTAAGCAGTTCATTGCCGTTAAGCAGAGGCATTTGCTGGCAGAGCTTGCTGGGCCAGCCCTCTCCCATGGGCTCTGCGTGTCAGGAGCTGTGTGTCCTCCCAGGCTGTGCTTTGGCTGCTGGAGCAAGACTTATATTTGTGAGCTCCTTCAGCCCATAGTAACTCTGTCTGGCTAAGCCAAGGGTTGGCTCTTCCTTACCCTGCTCCTCTGAGCCATCCCACGCTGTCTTCTTGGTGGCTGAGTCCATGTTTTCTTTCATCTTCCCATTGCACCCACCCATCCCTGCTCTAATGCACTGGGCCCTCGCTTGCCTGTGGATGCTCTGCCCTGGGTGCCTGAAAAAACAGCTTAGGAAAACTCCCTGCTCTTCTCAGCTGGGCAGAAGCATTGAAGAAGGGCAGATATCCTCGTTCTGTTGCTGCCTTGGTCATCTGTTGTTTTCTAACGAGACAGGCGTTTAGAAAATAGGAAGGGAAAGGCAAGGTATTGCTCACACTCTTAAAATCAGGGCAATTTACAACAAAAAGAGTTCCTTCCTTTCATATTAGCCTTATCTGTGCGGAGTTGCCCCATTTCTTCCTGTTATCTTGAAACAGTTATACCTATGAGATTAATGTCTTTATCACAATTAAGTGATCTAGACTCACTCTTCTATAGTCTAAAAGACCTCCTGCAGATCTCAGTCTTATCAGAAGTTTCTGATGATGGTTTTGGTTTGGGGTTTTTTTGGTCTTGGTCTTCAAACCAAACCAAACCTTGAAAATGGTTTTCAGCTCCACTTCTGCTATCATCTGACTTTAAAGATACTCTGATTCTATTTAAGGGTTAATTTGCTTATTTAACTTTAAATGTTTCAGACTCCTTCAACATGGTGGCACTTCCCTCTCCACCAAGCAGCTGCTCTTGGGGGAGGTTGATTTTGGGTGGAAGTCTCTCGATGTCTGCTATAGGACAGGCACTATGAGGGACATGAAATTTGTCCCCAAGGCATGGCTTTGGAGTCCTGCTTTGAAATGTATTTTCTGGGAATTTCCATGCTTTTCAGAAGCATATGTCATAAAGCATGCCAAAAATTGCCACGGATGGCACTTGTGGTCTGGGGCTATTGTGGTGGTAGATGGGGATCAAGGTGCACCGGCAAAGCTCTGCCAAGGCAGGCTGGTATTAGCTGGCATTTGGGCATTGGGACCCACTGCTTCCATGGGCAATGTGACTTGCACATCCCACTGCTCCATGCCATAGTTGCTCTTTTATTTGTTCCTCTTTCAAATCCTCCAGAAGGTTCCCAGCATCATCTCTGCAGTCTTGTGTTCCTCAACTTGCCCACAAGGAAGAGCAGTGGAGGCAGCTCACCTCGCAGGAAGTCACATTAGGGGTCGCACGATCTGATATAAATCTTCTGACGCTTGAAACCATTGACGTGGCTTTGGGTCAGTCCTTTAGGGAGTTCGTCAGAGAAAGGAGTGTCTGAACTGCATTTTTCCAAGGAGAGGAAAAGATGCTGCTGGCTAAAGGGAGGAAGGTAGCATCTGTTATGATCAAAGGATTTAGTTAAGGAAAGGTGAGATTCTTCTGTCCTGTGTTTGGTGTTAATTCACTCAACACGTACCTGGAATGGATTAGAAAATGTCATCAGCTCTGCAAGGGGACACTGCCACTGTTCTCTGCCTGGGAGAGCCGGCCTCAGAGTTGTGGTAAAACCGTGAGGTTGGTATCTAAGGTTCCTATAACACAGAGCCTTTAAATATACCCTGTGCTTATTTAAAGCATTTCCACATTGTGTGCGGTTTCCTAAGAATATTTTTGTTCAACGCTGGTTAAGCTGCCCCCATCTTTGCTGTCTGTCTGGTGACATCTGTGTTTTTTTCTGGTGGACATCAGTTATTCCTTAAAAACCAACCACCCAGGACAAGGGCCTAAGCGTGCATCTACTTCGGCATGAGAATAAACACCTCCCACATATTTGAATTCTCCCACTGATCCCAGTGAGACAAATCCATGAATTACATTGCTCACATGCTTCTGTGCTGACTGTCTTCTGCTGCAAGCAATCTGAGAGATGAGAGCATAACTCACAAAAATGATACATGTGTTTTTAATAACGTTTTACTTTTGTGAAAACGTTGAGTCATTTATTCTGAAACTTATTGCAGGATCATTCCTGAATCACCTCGGTGGCTGATCTCCCAGGGAAGATATAAAGAGGCAGAAGTTATTATCCGAAAGGCTGCAAAATTAAATGGCGTTCCAGCCCCAGCCGTGCTTTTTGACACCACGGAGGTATGTTTCATATGTCCTGATACTTTACCTCGCCGGCAGTTTCCCCCTTTGGCCAGTTGACTTGTTGGGAAATGCCAGCAGAGAAATGGTTTGCCCCAGCAGCTCTCAGAGGCTGGCAGTGACTGTTGGCGTGAGGTACGTGCTGGGTTAGCAAGTTCAAAATGAGAAGCCAGAGGGGGTTTTTATTTGTTTGGTTTTTTTACAGTAAAATTCTCTTCCTCAGGAGTGGTTGGTTGTGGTTTTCAGAGCAAGGGTGACCCAGATTGCTTCACCCTTTGGGTGAGGAAGATGTGTTTGTCCCCATTTCAGCTTGGCGTGGTGTTAGCGATTTGCAGTTTAACAGCAGCCCTTTGCAGGGGGGCTGTGCAGGGGACCCTAAATCGGCACCCACATGTGCCAGGGCTGCGTGGAGCCCCAAGGGATTCCCCAGGTTGCACAAACCAGCCAAAGCACCCGAGTGCTACAAGGGCACTTGAAAACCATGACGGTAGCGAAGGCAGTGAAGAACATTGAGCTCTTCTTCAGGCCTGGTTTTTTTCTGGTATTTCATATTTATTGGTTAAAAGGAGAAAGCCTAGCACAAACCTAACCTCCCAGCAAGCCGGGGAGCAGCGTGGCCGCAGTGGAACGGCTGTGCTGAAAAGGCACAGATGCTTTTCTTCTGCAAAGAAACCAGCAACGCTTCCAGCCTTGTGACAGAAATGACCGTGTGTCTGTAGGTCAGATCTTACTTTACTGCGTTTTGTGCCTCCTGATGTCTCCTGACAGAGCAGAAAGCAGAGCACTGCGTGCTCCTTTGCAGTATCTGCAGGAGAGAGACGCTGCACGCTGCCCCTCCTGTGGGCAGGATCCCTCTGCTGAATCTCGTGCCTACATTTTGGCTGAGCTGCTGAAGATCTCTTTTCCAAGTGTACATTCTAGTGTAAATTGAAGCGCACGTTCCAGCTATCAGAAGCTCATCCTACAGAAACCGTGGAAAAGCACTTTCGTTACTTCACAGCCAGAGTCCAGACGTCTTTTGGACGTGACTTTTTCAGGCTCCAGCACGTGAGTTTGCTTTTCATCACTCCTGCGTATTTTTGAGACCCAGTGGCAGCTCAGCTGTCCTTTACTTCGTGGGAATCTTGTGTGCCAAAAAGCCTCTGTCCACAAAAGCCTGAGGATGATGTTTGCACGTTAAGTCCTCCATTGGAAGTATTTTTCCAACGTTGCTGAAAAGACATTCCTTGGAAAACATCCTCTCTTCCCAGGAAACGTAAATCTCCTGGGTAGCCCCATAGGGAGGGCCAGGGTGGTTTGTTCTTTGGGCTTGGGGGGAAACCTGTTTGTAAGTGCTGGCTTTGCCCCGGCGAGGGGTCTCTGTGCAGGCAGAAGGGCACCGTCACGCCATCCAGAAGATTCCTGCTTCAAGCCTCAAACTGGACCCTCCCATCTCCCATCTGGGGTGGTGGATGCTCCCATGATGCGCCCTGGCCGCTGCGCCGAGCTCTGGCATCCGTCCCCCTCCCTGGCAGGGTGCCAGCAGGCAGGCAGCAAAACTGGGTGACTTTCTGCATCTATTTCACATCGTTTGTGAAGGCTGAACAGAAGAGAATTGAGTGGACAGTGCACAGAAAAATGCCATCAGCGATGAGGCTACTCCTGGAAGCACTGTGTTAGATCCTTAAGGAAATGTTAATGCATCTTTCTTATTGGCTGATACTCCTTCTTAATTAGTCAGCATGGTGCAGTGGTCTCAGTGTGACCTTTTTTTAACAAAAAAAGTGGAAACTGCCACGAGTACAGCTGGGTGCAGAGACAAGCTCTACCTAAGGACTGCCCGCCCTGGTGCAGAAGCGGCCCTCGGGCTGGCTAGTTATCCCCTGATAGAGTCGTAACTTCCTAACTGCCCAAACGTGTGGGTGTGCAGAGGTTGTTTTGCTCTTAGGTGTGTGGGAATTTTTTTGGTTTTGTTTTCCTTTTTCCTTCAGATGCAGGATTCGAAGCCTCAGCAGCAGCAGAAGGCTATCCTTCTGGACCTATTTCGAACCCGAAACATTGCAACTATTACTATTATGTCATTACTTTTGTGGTAAGGAAATGTGTATTCCTAAAGTACGCAGGCAATAGAACGATTTCTGATTTGAGGGCACGTGCCACAGGTTTAGATATTAAGTCTCAGCCTCAGAGCCTATCTACACACGGTCCTTTGGCCAGTACATGGCCCTCAATGTCCTTGCACCCGCACTGCATTAATACACGAGAGTATGGAGACAGTAGCCTCAACTCAGATGTAAAATAGACAAGAAACTATATGTAACAACTTGTGTATTTTAAATCTTTTTGTTTGATTTTGATTTTGGTTTTTTTTAAGAAGCTCCCATCTCTATAATCTCTATCTGAAGAGAAATGTCTTTCTTGAAGCAGAGGCAGCAACTCAGTAACATAACAAGAACCAGACCTATGGCCAGCGTTTTTGTTCTGTTCCTGTGCAGTGCCCATCTCAGTGAGATCCTGGTCCCTGCCTGGGCAGCCACAAGGAATGAGGACCCAATAATACCATATAGACAAACCAGGACCCTTTTCTGTACTTATTTGCCCCAGCAAAAAGGAACTGGCTAGCACACTTGGCATGCCATAGTAAGGCACTCTTGAGATTTGAAACCCGAACATCCAGCTCTCTTGTGAAGATTAAGTAAGATGTAACGGAACTGCCAAGGGTGGGAGATCCTGTCAATGGAGTTGGCTGCAAGTAGGAACGTAGTTGGCATAGGAAGCTTTCAAGAGTTATTTCATTGTGCTGTTCAATGAGTCCATTGCAGCGAAAAGCCTTTGTGAACGACTTCCACAAAGCCTTTTACTTGGTGTAGTGTATGCAGGAAGGACAGAGAAACCAGAGGTCTCTTCAAGCCGCTGTGGACATGATCACTGGAAGGGATGACAGAATTAGAAAGATGGGGTTGCCACTGAGATATTTTCTAAGCCACAACGCCTGTGGCGGTGCGTTGCGACATCCTATTTTTGTAACAACATCTGAGGCAACACTGGAGGCATTTGGAGACCGCCTGGAATCATTTGGTTTTATTGCTTTTCTCAGGTTTTTCACGTCGGTTGGTTACTTTGGCCTGTCCCTCAGCACTCCAGACTGGCATGGAAATGCCCACATCAACTGTTTCCTCTCAGCTGTTATTGAAGTTCCAGCCTACGTGATTGCCTGGCTTCTCCTTCGTTCCCTCCCTCGGCGCTACTCCTTATCGGGCACCTTGGTTTTAGGGGGAGGTGTTGTCCTCTTCATTCAGCTGGTCCCTGCAGGTACGAGATTCAATACGTCATTTAAGTATATAAAATGTTAGAAATATTTTATGGTACTATCTACTAGTTCTGTAAAATTACTGGAAACCACAATCACATTTAGAATTTGAGGTCAAGTTTATGCTGATCACCTGCAGCAGTGGGGTTTTTTTTATATGCACATGTATATGCTGAGTCATGCATGGCTCTCATTTATTGTGTCAAATTACTGAGCTTTTTATAGTCCAGCTTGTAAAATGAGAGCCAAAATTGCAGTGTGATTTATCTGGTTGTGCATAGAGGCTAGAAGAACCTGCAGGTCCTCCAGATTTCACTGTGTGTAGATCTCCACAGGTTTTTGCGAAAAAGGGGTGGATTTGTGCTTCGTTGTTGTATAATCCAGAATTTTGTTCCATTTCAAGAACGCCATTTTACTAGAAGAGGACAAAAATCTGAGAAGTACAAAAGAACCTGAGCATCTACATGATGCTCAGTGGGAAGTCTGGAGCCAAGTCTTCTAGGGATGGGGCTAATACACTGCATAATTGAAAAAAAAAAAAAAACCAAACTCACAACATTGATGGATCTTTGGGATTTAGAAGAGATACAAGTAATAAGCACAGGATGTTGCTTGTTCTCCTTGATTTTATTTTTTCTTCTCCAGATTTAAATGTCCTGTCTGTCGGCCTAGTGATGCTTGGAAAATTTGGCATCACCGCTGCATTTTCCATGCTTTATGTCTACAATGTGGAGCTGTACCCAACGCTGGTGCGAAACATGGCAGTTGGAGCCACTTCAACGGCTTCCAGGCTGGGCAGCATCATTGCTCCTTACTTTGTTTACCTGGGTGAGTCATTTTGCCTTTCTTGCCTTGCACTACACAACGGCCCAGAAGTCTTCGGAGTTCCTGCAGTGCAGACTCAGCTTTAAGTCCCGTCATTTGTTGCCTTTTAAGTCCCTTCTCTCATCTTGGGTCTGAGGTCACTGTCGAACGCTGTAGAAATGAAGCGGAGCTCCTTGGGTTTCACAAAAGAATCAGGTACTTTTTTCCTTTATTGAGGCTAGGGACCATTCATACAGCATCGGAGTGGGTGCAAGGTGGTCCAAGACAATGACGGTCTTTATAAACCATGCAAGCGGCGTGGTTGGGATGGTAGTTGGTCACATCTTGGCAGTGGGCAATTACCCCTGGGATGCCAGTTAGTTTCCCAGGAGAGCGTGACAAGAAGCAATCTAGCAAGTCAGTGCCAGTAGGCAGCTCATTGCATTGCGCTCCTCGTGCGTGTCCCGGGGTGGGTATGTCAGGAGGAGATGAACCAAACATCCCCTGAATCTGTGCTCTGTAAAGCAATACATGGAAAACATGCAGATGAAGCAGCACAAGAGCGTGTTTAATTGTGACCCTCGTGAAGTGGGGGTTTTCTTGAGTTACTAAGCCAGGCACCTCGGCTTTTCCTAATTGCTCATGCCTGGTCTGTAAGCAGAACTACTGATTTCCTCATAGGCTTTTTTTTTTTTTTTTGACACTCATTGCCATCACATTCTGAGTGCTGCACAAATATTAATTGATAATGTTATATTTTTTTTAAAGTACACAGAAATGATCCTCATGTTGCAGACAGCAGGACAGAGATTTAGGGATTGAGGGTGGAAGCATCTGTGACTACTGGCCGCTCAGTCCAGCGCTCAGTCTCCTGTTTCTTTCACTTGCGCACAATTTATTTCCTTCTGCCATCACTGGCCCCGATGCAGGTCTCCCCTGCAGCTAACGAGTTTTGCTTTCTGCTGAGACCTTGGATACAAAATGAGTGCGGCTGCGGACTCCAGCAGAGCATTGCTGGTATACGCTAAGGGGTTAATGCTGGTTCGCCATGCCAGGGAAGGGGAGAGGAGACCGCTGTTTGTAGCTCACCTGTATGGTCTCACCTCTGCATCCCAGTGTGACTGTAACACACTGTACCAAAAATGATGAAAATATATTGTCTTTATTTCATACTTGTACAGTGCAAATGTAAAGTAAAAGGGACAGCATGGCTGTGACGCTCCTTAGGGTCTTCAGTCTCCACTGCGGCACAGGTAACAGCAACAGAGAGATACCTGTAGACAGGATAAAGTTTTTACTGTTGTTTTTTTTGGTTTGGTTTTTTTTTCCCAGGTTTCCATAGGCTCAGCCTTTAAAAAAATCTTGTTGCAGTCATCAGAATAGTTTCCTAAATTTTAGGAGGTTTTAGGAGAAACTTGTCAGCGGCTAATATTTGCTACTGCTAAATTAGGACCTAGCAGTTCATCCAGCTCATGAACACAGAAGAGATCAAATCGCAGTACTTTGGCTCTATGTGAAATACCCAGGGGTCTTCACTTTAATCCTAGTTTATTCCATACATTATAAAGCATACTGCTACTAAAAAAATAAAGCTGTCAAGTCCAGTTTAGTACTTTCTCTACCTTAAATACTTTAATGCCTAGTTAATCCCTTTACTGAAAGACCTTTTCATTGCTCTGCTATTGTGACTTGAAGATCTTGC